TTTTATACTGTGAATCTCTCTCTCTCTCCCCCCTCCTCCTCTGAGGACATTAAAGTTATAACAAAGTTTCTATCCTTTATCTAGTTTGATGAAGAATTTATTGAAACAACAGAACAATATGAGAAGTTGCTGAAGGGTGAGCCTGAGATTTATTCAATGTTTTCTTACTGGAAAAAGTAAACATTTGTTTCTGGAAATATTCATTTCAATATAGAACACAGAACTCTGGAGTGACAACTATTAGAAAAAGGACTGCTCACATTGATTGAGTGCCCACTATGTCCCTGTCACGGGGCTAAATTTATCATTTGCATTGTGTCTTTAGCCGTCATAAAAGCTTATCAAGTAGACTCTGGCCCGGACCTCAGTGAGAGATGGTAGCCTGGGTTTGACTCAGCTAATTGGTTCAATACTCCCCATCCCACTGAATGGAGCACTGGGTGTTATACGCAAACAATGAACCATGGAACACTACATAAAAAAAAAAAAAGAATGCTTGAAGAATTCTTAAATAATGATCCAGTGGGCTGGAAGGGAAGGGGAATTTGGGCTAAAATATTCTCTAGTTCTCATGGCTCATATCCGTTCTTCTTAGTGGTTTCAACAGATTAACAGACACCATTTTATCAGGTCACAATTGTAGAACCAAGACTATCGAAAAGACCGAAATTTGATTAAATTCGGAAGTCTTTCACCCTTACAATTTCCTAGAAAAGTTTCTCAAACCAAGAGAAAAGACTAGTGCTTTCATAGCACTTCTTAACCTTCTAATAGCCACATTACTTTCCTTACCTAAGGAAACATGGATGTCCCCACCATTGCTGATAAACAGTCATGAAATTGACACATATTATTTTTTTGAGAAACCTTCAACTAGTAATCAGACCTGCCGTTCAACTAGTAATCAGCAGACCTGCCGTTTACAAACCGTATGACTTTGCAGAAGGCCTTTAACTTCTCTGCATCTTATCTCTTTACCGTAAAATAAAAATAATCTCTGTGGTCACAGATGCAGTATACCAGTAGATCTCACTAAATGGGGAAGGTTGGCTAGCCCCTTACCCAATTCTTGTCCAGGAACTTTATTGTCTGGAATATCCCTGAAGCTCCCCATTCTCTTTGTTTCTGCCCTACTCCACCCCAAATGAGGCCAGTCACTGGTACGTGGTAGGGATTAAGTACATATGTATTGAATAAGTAAATGAAATGCATCTCCAGAAACTTTTCCATGATCATTCCGGCAAGAACTCCTCCCTAATACCCTATGAAATCCTCCAGCCCTCCCTGAGTCTGTGATGCTACTCTTGTGCTTGAGACACTCTCCTGGGCATTACCATTATTTGTAAATAGGAGACAGAGAGGGGCAGCAGAGAGGGCTGTGGGCTGAAGAGTCAGGAGGCCCACTTCTGTTGTGAGTTCGAGCAAGTCATGTTTGCCCCGTTGGCCTTCACAGTGCCATAGTCTATGATATGAGTGAGCTAAATGATCTCCAAGATCCTTTCCTATACTCTTGATCTGAGAGTTTTAAAAATCCTTCTGAAGAAGATCATCAGCTCCTAGAAGCAAGGATCATATCTAATAATCTAGTATCTTCTGCATCACTAACAAGCAGTAGCACAGAGCCCAGTTTAGATGCTCATTCAGTTTTGGACAAATGTATAACTGCTTTTAGGAAATGGAGATTTTGCAGTCTCTCCATTAATAATAGTACTAAAATTTCCAAAGCATGGTCACAAGGTGATCTTATCCCTGCTCAAGGAAATTCTACAATGGGCAGATCAGAAAATAGGCTCAGGGAAGCCTGACATCATCAACTAGACAGGGACACTGGCTCCCTGGAAAGTTCCTATGGTGGTTTCCTCTCCACCATCCTCTACTGCCTCTCATTAAGTCAAGTAGCAACAGTATTGGAAGTTGGGGAAATTAATTCTGGCCTTTGCCAATACACTAGTGAAATCTGGTTCCTATTCTGGATAAAAAGTTCCTGATTCTCAGCAATGTACAGGTGGTAAAAGAAATTTAAAGGCCATTTATTTCTTCAAGACCCTATGAAAAGAGCACTATTAATAGTACATCTTTAAATGCATTACTTATATAGGCAGTCACTCACAAAGAAGAAAATTTAACTTTACTAAACACTAGTTATTGACAGTATTCAGTGTTTTATTTATCTCATTTCATCTTTTCAAAAATCCTGCTAGATAGATATTATTATTGTTTTAGAGCAAAGGAAGCTAAAGCTCAGATTTGCTTAAAGTCACATGGCTGGGGAGGGCTAAAGCTGGCGTTTGGACCTCGTCTGCCGGGGTTCTTGCTGTACATCCGTCCTGCTGCCACACAGACCTGGAGTGATACCTGCTGTGCTTTTCAAAGAATTCAGGCTCCCAGCCTCCACCCCTGAATCAGAGAATCTGGGGAGTGGGGTGAGTATTTTTAACAACCCACCACCCTGAGATGAACTTTGAGAACCAGAAGCACTTATACTACAACACAGTCATAGTAAATGTATAGCGTCTTAAACAATCATGATTAACCAAGACACAAAAATGTGTGAAACCATCAAACAAATCTCAGATTTTCCATAAAGCAAATGGTAGGCATTTCCTCAACAACTGGGGTCTTTAACTCACTACTCTGGATGAAAACAAAATCACTCAACAAAATTAGAAGAGACCCTCCTACAGGCTTACCTGGACCATGGAAGGACAGTATCCTAACCTCACTTTGCTCAACCCACAGATGGACACTTGCTTTTCGGCCAAGTGTCTATGATTGAAATTGATGGAATGGTGCTCACGCAGACTAGAGCCATCCTCAGCTACCTTGCTGCCAAGTACGACTTGTATGGGAAGGACATGAAGGAGACAGTCAGGTAGCATAGTGTTCACATCTGTACTTGATTCTTATCTAAGCTCTGTAGTCCTGCACCTGCTGGGACCCAGTTAAGGTGTAGCCTTTCTGCCTAGACTGGGGGGAGAAGGCAAGGGGGAACAAAGGGGAGATGCTCTTGCTACGCCCATATGCAAAAGCAATCTATTTCTCATCATTTTGATGCATAACTGTATAAATACTCCAGTTCTTCCCTTTTACTACTCATAGTGGTGGGCATTCAACATTCTCATATTCTCTCTCCACTCCTAACAAAATACGTTCTCATAAAATGACCTGGTAAACTATTCTACAATGACTGACTCAGCAAACAAACATTGAGCATTATATCAATAATCTATTACCACAAATAATGCTGTGTAACTTATCACCTTGAAACACAGCGACTTAAGTCAGCATGCATTTATTACTGGGTCATGTGGGCTTTGGCATTATCTGGGCCAGGCTTGACTCCTCTTGGCTGGACTCACTCATATGGTCTGTGGTCAACCAACAGTCAGCCAGGAGGCTCTGGTTTTGGGTGTTGAGTATCAACCGAGGGGCAAATGAGCCATGTGTCTCTCATCCTCTCATGCCGAGCTTGTTCTTGGGGTAGCTAGGGAGGGTTCTAAGAGAGAGACTGAAAGCACACAAGGCCTCTTAAGTTCTAGGCTCAGAACTGGTCAATTCCACTTCACTCCATTAGTCAAAGCAAGTCATGAGATCAACCCAGAAAAGAGACCCCATCTATTGATGGAAGGAGCTGTTGAGTTTTATCACAATTACTCAGGGGTGAAAATTGGTGTCCATGGTTTTGCACATATATACAAGCATCTACTATGTGCTGGACACTATGCTAGGCCTGACTGAGGATGGCTGGATTATTACTCCCAGGAATGGTTCAGAGTTATAGAAGACAAGTAAACTAAAGACAAAGCAAAGACTTACAACTATTAAAGTTTTATCTGGATTTGGGGTCAAAGGGCCATTTTAATGGTCCTTGAAATCTCATCCCCATAAGCATGACACTATGGGATGGTCCGTACATATATATAGAAGACATGGTGGGAGAAAGATCCAAATTCAATTGTTCAGAAGAAGGAGAGAGAGAGTATGTCACAGGAATGAGCAAAGTCCATAACAAGAAGCAGCATGCCCCAACTTTTCCACTGCTCCAACTTTAAAATGAACTTAGTCATCCTAACTTGCAGTCCCAAAGGTATATGGCAAGAGAAGCAATTTCAAACTGTGTGAAAAGAATCCTTTTATAATAATGTAAACAAGTAGTAGTATGCAAAAGCAATCTGTTTGTCATAGTTTTGATGCATGTGTTGTTTTTTTACAATTAAAGGTGACCAGCTAGGTAACAATCTAACCTGTAAGAAAAATGATTTGTAATTCAGATAGGACAATAATGTAAATTATGCTTTTATATATGTTAAAATGCAAAACACAAAGATGACCATTGAACCAAATTTATGAGCAATTAGCATATAGTGGGGGATACACAGACACACAACCCCTAAGGTTTGCGCACTGGTCGTAGAGATAACTTGCACAGCATAACTGCACCAACAGGCAAATAATCAATGATAACAGATCTACCATTCTTGGTTATTGTTGTTGTTGTTTTTAGCTTTTTGTGTACGTCAATGAAAGGAAAATTTTAGAGAATGAAATCCAGGTATCTGTCTGACCTGACTAGGAAAGCAAACTTTTCTTTCTCAGTTGCCAGGTCAGGGGAAGACCTGCTAAATTATGTATCTTCCCTAAAGAAGTGAAAAGGTTCTGGTACTAACAGTTTTGCACTTCTGGTAAACTTCATTCGGTTGGGTTTTTAAAGCCATAATAATTATTTATTTATGGCAGATTTCAACTTGGAGGCTCTTAATTTTTTCACACATCCCTTCATCCAATGAACATCTCCAGAGACCCTAGTATCCTCGGGTCCCTTGGAGGGCTCTGGTTCCAGAACTCATTCCTGAGCATGGACTCCTAAGGGAAAGGGTGTGAAACGTCATCTGGCCCAATATCCATCTACGCCATCGCGGTGGCGAAGTAGGACACCCCCATACTCAAAGGTTACCGTGGGAACGCGAGTCACGCGCTCTTTCGTCAGGATCAACACGTACACTGATGGCACCCTGGACCTCATGATAACGATCGCGCTGGCTGCGTTCAAACCCTCCGCGGAAAAAGAGGAGGATCTTGCTTTAGCCGGGAAGAGAGCGAAAACTCGTTACTTCCCCGCCTTTGAAAACAGGCGGCGGGAACCCAGTTTGCCTCGCGGCGGCAAGATCTCACCCCGCGCCGGGGAGGGGCGTCTGCGTGCTCTCGCGAGAGCCTGGGTCTGGGTCGGCGACCGCTGCGCGCGCAGATCCCGCGAGGGGGCGGGGCAAGCAGGGGGCGGGGCAAGCAGGGGGCGGGGCTGTGACGTCCTCGAGCGGCCCCCAGTTCCCCCTCCCATTCCAGAGAGGGGCGAGAACTGAGAGGCGGGTTTCGCGCGCAGCAAGTTCGCACTGACGCTTCCCGGGATGCGGGGATCCAGGACTGATTTCCTGTTGCTGAGAAGAATAGTTCCCGAGTGAATATCTGAAAAGCTGAATATCAGCTATGGTAGTGCTTTCTTGCCCTCGGACCAAAACTTTAATAAGGGTTCCCAAACAAATGACATGACGGAATTATGTGGAACCTCTAACAAAACAGAATGGCAATAAACCAAATGCAACGAAAGGATACAGCCTTTCTGTTCTGATTTTTAAAATAAGCCATCAGCAGCCCAGGGCATCGGCACCTTAAATTCACCGTGTCAGATGTTTCTTTAATACTGGAGGCTAATCATGCCTCAATCAAAAGAACAAGGTCTTTTAAATTTACAACTTTCCCGAAGTCATTTTGGAGTGAATACTAATTACGAATGTCCTTGAAGTACATCTGGTAAGTTTCCAAACATAGAGGACAGCATGGGACATGGTAAGAAAGACTTGTTAGCAGAGGGCTCCATAAATAAAGGCTTGCCAGACAGAAGAATTCTGTGGGATTTCTCCTCAGTCTTAGCCTCGGGAAAGAATGATTTACTACTGATTAAGCTATAATGAAGAGTCTTGCCAGTACCTCAGGTCCTAGACGATCCAGTTCCTCTTTGTTTGGGAGCAATGTACAGTGTTGTTGAAATGCCTTCCATTTAAAAAAACTTGTATGATTATTTGAGTTGTAATGTTAAATGGGCTTTCTGATACTATTTTCTACTTGTGGTATAGTAGCCCGATTCTAACTAATCATGACCTTCGTGTCTCCCTATACTGGTGGGTATAGTTTTACTTAATCAGCTGTAGGCTTATAAGAGAGAGCTCCGTTCCAGCCCTTCACTACCCAAAATGTCTTGATAATCACTGACAAACTTCCAACAAGACTGTGCCAATTTATAGAAATGTTTAAGAGTGCGTAAGAGTTGGTTTCATCTGATCCTTTCCAGCAGTCTAGGAGATAATCAAGAAAAAGATTCTTTTTTATTTTTTTTTAAAGATTTTATTTATTTATTTGACAGAGAAAGACACAGCGAGAGAGGGAACACAAGCAGGGGGAGTGGGAGAGGGAGAAGCAGACTCCCTGCCGAGCAGGGAGCCCGATGCGGGACTCGATCCAGGGACTCCAGGATCATGACCTGAGCCGAAGGCAGTCGCTTAACCAACTGAGCCACCCAGGCGCCCCAAGAAAAAGATTCTTTAGTAAATTTGATCTGGACAGAAGACTCCCTGCTTTTATAAGTGTTTAGCCAGGCAAAATAGTCTTTACTTTTATTTGATATTCTTTGTCATTTCTCGTTCTGTAGATTTTGAAAGACCATGGAGAGGATTTGCTCGTTGGCAACAAATTCAGTTGGGCAGACATACAACTGTTAGAAGCGATTTTAATGGTGGAAGAACTCGATGCTTCTGTTCTTTCTGACTTCCCTTTGCTAAAGGTAGAGTATTCACATCCACACAAAGTGAATAGAAACAAAGACTAAAATGAAATGTATCTCCAGGTCAATCTTAAAAGAAGACTTGTTAAAAAATCATTTCATGCATCTTGGCAATTTTCTCCTGCTCCATACTACAGGATCATTAGGAAATAAACCCTTATGATGGGAGAGAGATAGGTTATTTTGGTTTCTAACATAAACATTTAGTGCTTTTCTTTTTTTTTTTTTTTTTTTTTTAGTGCTTTAAGCGTTTTTTTCCTGATGAAGCAACACTGACAAGTCTGTCTTTGTCGTTTCCCTCCCCAGTGCCTACTGGACAACTCTGCCCCCCTTTAGTGACCCTGATGCCGAGGACACCCCACCATTTCCCTCCATTGCTCAGAGATTCTGCCTGGGTGTCCCTGCCTGTCTCCTGCTGTTGCTGGTCCTTAGACCTCCCTCTCTCAATCTTGCCACTGCCAGACCAGAGCTGGCCTCTCTTCCAATTCCTTAGAAACATTTTATCTAAGAGGTGACCATAGGTTTTGTGGTTTAAGAATAGTATTTTTTTCTTACTACCAAAGAAATGAAAGTTCAGGTCTTTACGTTAGGCATTTGTATGAAACAAAAGAAGAAAAGACCTAACTAGCCAAATGCTACTACTGGATTAGACTCTGATCTATTATTTTACATTTTTCCTCAAAATAAGATCATACTAAATATTGTTTTGTGGCCCCCTTTTAACATTTAAAAAAATTATCATGAATGTTTTGACAGGTCAGCAAATATTCTTCTACAATATCATTTTATTTTCATTAGGCAATAGAGTCACATCTTTTTGAATAATCAGAACTATATAAAAAGGACATAAACTGAGAAAGCTTATTTCCCACCACCGCCCTCCCACCTTTCTGCTCCTATAATCACTTTTATTGGTTTCCTGTGTAACTTCCCAGTGTTCCTATTTATGCAGATACAAGCAAATATGAATAGCTATTTCTCTCTCATCCCCATCCCTGGCTTTCTTACACAAAACAGCAAATATATTCTGTTCTGCCCTGGACTTTTTTTTTTTTTCTTTTCCCTTTCTTTAAACTAAACCGTGCATTCTAGAGCTCTTTCCCTGTCAATACAGGGACCTTCCTCTTTCTTTTTATATATAAGTCATTTTAAATTACTGGCTTATATACCTTGTAAGGACATACCATAGTTTATATGACCAGTTTTCTTTTCTTGGAAACATAGGTTATTTCCACATTTTCACCCTACTAACATTCTTTTTTTTTTTTAAGATTTTATTTATTTATTTGACAGACAGAGAGAGAGCCCACAAGTAGGAGGATCAGCAGAGGGAGAGGGAGAAGCAGGGTTCCGCTGAGCAGGGAGCCCGACGTGGGGCTCGATTCCAGGACCCTGGGATCATAACGTGAGCCGAAGGCAGACACTTAACTGACTGAGCCACCCAGGCACCCCCACCCTGCTAACATTCTTAACATGATTTCTTTGCTCGCGCCTTACGCGATTTCTTTGCTCACCCTTATAATAAATTCCTAGAACAGGAATCGATAGGTCAAAGAATATGAATTTTTAATTTTTTATTTATTTATTTATTTATTTAAAAGATTGTATTTATTTATTTGACAGAGACACAGCGAGAGAGGGAACACAAGCAGGGGGAGTGGGAGAGGGAGAAGCAGGCTCCACGCAGAGCAGGGAGCCCGATGTGGGACTCGATCCCAGGACCCTGGGATCATGACCTGAGCCGAAGGCAGTCGCTTAACCGACTGAGCCACCCAGGCGCCCGAATATGAATTTTTTAGAGTTTTTAATATGTGCCATCTACTTGGGACAATGAGTTTTTAAGAAGATAATTTCATTCACACTAAACACACTAGCCATTGTATTAGCTTTTCAGGAACCCCCAGCAAACAGGTGTTGAGGGGTTAACTCAGGTTCAACCCACTGGACTCCCTAAGCTGACAGTCTAAGCACCCTCCTCCCGTGGCAAAGTTCTGTTAAAGGTCACGACTGCTATCGAGGCTCTGACTTGACTGGTTCTCATCTCAGGCATTTAAAACAAGAGTCAGGGCGCCTGGGTGGCTCAGTTGGTTAAGCGACTGCCTTCGGCTCAGGTCATGATCCTGGAGTCCCTGGATCGAGTCCCGCATCGGGCTTCCTGCTCGGCGGGGGGTCTCCTTCTCCCTCTGACCCTCCCCTCTCTCATGTGCTCTCTCTCATTCTCTCTCAAATAAATAAATAAAATCTTTTAAAAAATAAATAAATAAATAAAACAAGAGTCAGTAACATCCCTACAATTAAAAGGTTCCTGCAGCCTGGGAGTCAGAGGAAGCCCCCCCGGATAGCCACTACGTGAAGGTGGTCAGAAGCATCCTGCACTTCTAATGGCAGCAGGCCTTACCGTGGCAAACAGTGATGGTCTGGTCACAGCATCGGTACGGGCCACCCAGCGAAGCGAATTGTACATTCTGGGAGCCAAGTGTCTGAACAGAACAAAACCATACAGCCAGGAAAACGGCAGACACCAATTAAATGCAATACAAAGCCATTCTGGTGTGTGAAATTTTTGTAAACTTGTCGGTTGTGGGTGATAGTTCCAACTTTGATGAAATCAGTGTTCTGTGTCAATAAATCAGAGGCTGATTTATTTAGGGCAAGGGGGGGCCCACGTAAGGCACTGTTCTTACTGTCTGTACCGAGATCAGGACCACTGTTGGAAGAAGGAGCAGAGATTGGGGGCCCAGGATCTCCCCAACACCCACAATGACCCTGAGTACTTGGCATAGGAAAAAAAAGTGACAAATGACAAATCAGGAGTAAGATGATGGCTGATGCCAGAAAATCCTGTGAGAAAGGATAGGGAAACAGAGGATTTCCACAGAACATCATTCTGAGACCATGAAAAAAAAACTTGGACAACTAGACAACTCTCTTCCACCTAAGAGAGCCACCTGAGACTGGGTTTGGCTTTGCTGAAACAAGTAACACTGAGATTAAGATATAACCAATATTTATACGAATTGACCCAAAGATTCCCTGTCCTTTAAGAGTAACTCTGGTGTTCCCAAGTTGGGTAATCTGGAACTCAGCCCCACATCAGGGTCCTGTGTGGTGGGGGATGGAGGAGTCGTGCAGGTGATGTTACAGGCACAGCTGTGGTTTCCAGTGGAGGGGTCTGTGGTCCGGAGCAGGGCTCCTGCCAGTCCTTAGAGGTATACAACTCTACCAGCTCTCAACTGCTGCTGGGCCATCCTGCCCGGACCACACACTTGCTCAGCTTCTGAGTGAGTACCCACGTGCATGTCCTTACTTGTGAAATGACCTAATGGCTCACCAGACGTCATGCCCTTTCCTCAGGACCACCACAGGCCAGGACCATTCCTACATGATATCCGGTCCCATCCATTTTTCCTCCCCAACTCAGGTGACAGGTTGATCAACAGAGTTAGGACCACCTGGGCCATTCAGCGTCCCCCAGCCCAGCCTGTGTAGGGCCTGAGCTCTCACTCCCACCGTGGTCAAATCCCAATCCATCGCCTGATCTCATTCGCCACTCTGGCAAGGCCACGGCCAACTACCAGATGATGCGTAAGACAAAGGAGGAGAAAAGGCTTCTCACAGGAAAACTCTGCCCCTCTCTGTGTGAGATGACTTTTTCCTCTGACCTCCACCAAAGCTAAGAGTCTGACCTGGCAGAAATTAGGTGAGAAAAGGAAAAGAACTTATTTTTTATGATTCATAATCGCAAGCCAGTCTCTATTTGTTATAATCACATGGTCTTGGTAAATAATTCAGTGGTTTAGAAGACTTTCACAGTGAAAGAATAAAATCCTCCCCTCCCTGGATTGTTCTTAAACACAAGCGCTTCCTGGGTCCTCCCTCGTTGCTCCGGTGCCTCCCTTGAGAATCCAAGCACAGCGTGGTTGAGTTCCCAAAGCTCTAAGCCTGTTTTGCCTAGGGCTCTACTTCCTGGCTTTTGAAAACAAGCCCTAGGTCTGACCCCAACCTGGCACATCTTCCGAGTACACCCTAAAAGCACCTGACAGAGGGACGGCCAGCCAGGGTCAAAGCATGGTTCATCATCCAATAACCCCATATGTACAACTTGCTGTCTTTATTGTAATAGTTTTTACACCTTCATTCTTCCCTACAGGGTTCTCTTTGGGCCCATTGCCTAGTTACCCAAACTAGTAGAGGTAACTCTGGGTACCCAAGGAAGTGAGCCTCACAGAGCCCAAGAGCACCCAGCAACATTCAACTTCTCCCCCACCACCAGAGAGTCATAGCTTTGGATCGAAAGAAGAAGGACAAGTGAAGACGGTCAGCTCAATATACCTGTAGGAACAGAGAGTGGGGGCCTTGTTGGTCCTTGGTCCTCTCTTCCAGAAGATACTGGGATCGAGATCCTGTTACCAGCTTTGTTCTCCCATTTCAAGAGTTTAGCACTCTAGAAGGTGAGAATGTCTTTTCTTGGCAACTGTGAATCTCCCATTTCAGTTAAAGCCCATTTCTTTTGTTTGTTGAAACCTCAGCATACAAAGAATTAAAACCTGTGCAGTGGCCCCATGATGACCTTTCCTAACTTGGTGTTGATAATTAATCCTCCTTTTGGACTCCAGCTTGGATTTTAAAATGTGGGATTGCTGCGTGAGTTTCTCTGCACAGGGCTAGAGTGAAAAACTCAAGACAAAAGACAAAGCCCCGCGACCCGCCCCCGCCCCCGCCCCCCCCCCCCCCCCCCCCCGCCGGATTGCCAGCCTTGAGCAAAATTGGGAGAAAAGGATTTGTTTTTGTTTTTGATTTTTGATTTGGGGCACGGTGTTGGTTGTTGCTTTTAAGCAAAGAAGGAGGTTTATTAGCTCATACGTTTGAAAGAACAAGCATGAATCCAGAGACCTTTCCGACCCATCAGGATTGCCCAGATTTCATTCTGTGTTGGCCTCAGGTTCTTCCAAGGTTCTGTGGTTGGCTCACCCTCATCCCAGGTGACCCAGGGGCTAACACTGAGGTAACGCTGCAGCCACTGGGAGTTGAGGTTCCTCAAAGGAGTGGGCTGGCATCGCCAGGAGGAGAGGGGAGACATGCTGGCCACAAAGGTTTACTATCTCCCCAGTTTACAGATAGGGAAAGTGAGGCTCGGCAAGTCTGTTACCCCATACACCAAGCTCCCATCCTGTGTGCTGCCAGCAGGAATTATATTCTGGCTTTAGGGATGGGAAAAACTAGACCCACGGAGGGGAGGCAAATTGGTCTAAGCTAATGAGTGGCTGAACTGAACCCAGACCCAGCAGTCAGGATCCATGGTCTTTTAAATAGATTTGGCAGTAGCCTGGTGTTCAGTTTGCGAGACTGAAGATAGCTGGGAGATAGTCTTTCCTGGTTGCTTAAGAATAGGCAGATTTGGATTGCGTATTTCCATGCCCTGCCCTCTGCAGCAAGCATATTGTACTTTTTGGTTTTTATTTTTTTCCCATGGCCCTTTCCATCCAATATCTATTGTATCCTCCCCCAAACCTTGCAAGACTAACACTTCTTTCTTTCAGATTGTAATACTATCGGAACTTTATGCCTTTTTTTTTTTTGATAAAGCTTTTTAACTAAGTAAAGCAAACACTCAGTAAAGGGGGCAAATCTTACATTTGCAGCTCAATGTTTTCTGTTTCTGTTCTTACAAATGTCACATTTCTTTTTTTTTTTTTTTAAAGATATATTTATTTGAGAGAGAGAGAGCAAGAGAGAGGGAGAGGTGGGGCGGGTGGTAGAGGGAGAGGGACCAGCAGACTCCCCACTGTGTGTGGAGCCTGTTGCTGGGCTCGATCCCACAACCCTGAGATCATGACCTGAGTGGAAATCCAGAGTCGGATGCTTAACCAGATGGTTCAGTTGGTTAAATTAGAAAATAGAATTATAAATTCTTCTTTAGTTTTAGAATGCTCCCATTCCACAAAAGCTTCTTTGTCCCAGTCAAAGGCTGCTCCCACCCCCAGCCCCAGGCCATCTCTGATCTGCTTTCTGTCACAGACCATTCACTTCTCCAAGATAAAACTAGCATGAACCCACAATGCCAAGGTAATAACCCTGGGTCATCTTCCTACGGCTTTTGCTTCCTGCGGAAAGGTCCAGTAAGACTTGCCCTCGTAGGTGAGAGGGTGTCCTACCTGAGCTGGTAGCTCATTCTCTCAACAGTGAATGAAATAAGGTATTACAGACTCCGCTAAGCAAAGAAAGAATGTCAAGGTTCTGTGAGGAAACCTCAGAAGCTCCTAAGTCTGTTAAGGATGTTGAGGTCTAACCTCAAGAAAATAGGATTTAATGCAAAAGGGAGTTAGAATTCACTTAGCAGTTTTATAAGACAGGGTGCAAAGGACGGGAATTTGGAGACTGTTCAGCACTTGAACATGAGTATTCTGGGCCCCCTGACACAGAGCTTCCCAATCTGTGTGTCCTGGATGGGTTGCAGAAGCCAGGAATTATTCAGCCAACCCCTTGAGGCAGTTAGAGCAGTGTCGTGATTTACCTCCAGGGCTTACAAATATGACCATTTCTTTTTTTTTTTTTTAAGATTTTATTTATTTATTTGAGACAGAGAGAATGAGAGACAGAGAGCATGAGAGGGAGGAGGGTCAGAGGGAGAAGCAGACTCCTTGCCGAGCAGGGAGCCCGATGCGGGACTCGATCCAGGGACTCCAGGATCATGACCTGAGCCGAAGGCAGTCGCTTAACCAACTGAGCCACCCAGGCGCCCCCAAATATGACCATTTCTTCTC